GGGGGGGGGGGGGGGGAGACACTTTACAGATGTTTAGAGGCAAGATCTCTTTTAGCAGAAGTTGAGATTTGGCATTACGACAAAAAGTTCAGTTCTATCCTTGGTGGCCCCCCGTCCCGTCCCGATCCCTTCCAGTACTATTTCATCTTTAGCCTACCTTCGACCTCCCCAGTATCCCTTGGCCACCACTGGGGCCGTTCGCGTCTCGTCGCCTCGTTTCCAGCGCTTCCCGTCGTGAGCTTGGTCCTGCCCCCTCGGCCGTAGCATCAACGCTACTCTCCGCCAGCGACCAATCGCTTGCAGCCCCCGCGGACCTTTCGCCGGGGGCGCACCAGCCAGCCAATCAGCGTGCGCCGATATTTTTATTATTCATCGGGCTGTTCCGAGCTCTACTTCCTCCTCCCGCCGCCTTGCTGGAAACCCAGCTGAGTTCCGGGCAGTGTGTGACGTCGACGCCACCGCTGTTGACTTGTTTAAAGAAGAGGGAGGAGAAGGAGGAGGGTTAAATTGCTCCGGGGCTTTTAACGGGTACGTGCGCGGATTCTGAGGGGCGGGGCTGGGCGAGTGGAGGGTTGGATCTCCATCTTCTCCAGGCGGGGGCGCAGCGTTTGCAGGCGGGGGCGCAGCTTGCGTTCGCGTCCGCGTCGCCGAAGGAGACCGCCCCGTTGGGGATGGAGCCAGCGATGTCGGCGAGAGCTTGCAAAAAGCAGGAAGTGAGAAGCGTTGCTGGTTAGGCCTATCACAGTGGAAACATTGCGCGAAAGGAGCCTGACCCAGAGCTCCCCGTCTTATTCCCTCTTGGAAGATCCATCCGATTGCTCGCCCTGTAGCCGCAGCGGGGAAGGTTGAATGCGCTCCTGCCTTGGAGTTTCTCTCTCTCCCCCTCCCGTTTATTTTCTGGGGGGAAAAATTAAAAAGCGGGAATCAGAGAGGGAGGTGACAATTTTGTGGTGGTTGGGAGGATTTAAGTAATTTTATTAAAGAGTGTAATTCCACCTAACACCAAACTAAAAGAAAGATAGAAAAATAGAAGGAGTAAAGGGTGCAAACAGAAAAAATAGGAAAGATGTAAAGAAAGAAAAAAAAAACAAAAATAAGAATATAGTAAAGAAAAATAAAAAATATATAAAGAAATGACTCCCAACCTTCATCATAACAAGTATAAACGATTTTAGTACCTTTTCACCTCTTAAAATAGAACAAGTGATCTCTTCTTCCCGTATCCCATCTCTTATCTATAAACAAATCCATAAAGCATCATTTCAGTCTTGATGTCAGCAAAATGGGTAACCCCATTAAGGGTTACCAGAAATAACATATCTATTTTAATCTTGATCAAATAAACCAACTTTATATTC